AGCGCCGGAGCCGAGAGCCGCCACGGGCGGGCGGGGCCCGCCGGACGCACAGGTACCGGGGAGCCCGGGGGTGCGGGGGGCGAGGGCCGTGGGCATTGTCCGGCGCGGGGCCGGGCCGTGCCCTGTGGGCCGCGGGTAGCGCGGCCCGGCCGGTGCCCGCCGCGTTCCGGGCCCGTTTCTCCGCTCGGCGCTGGGAGGGACCGGCCGAGTCCTGCCGGCCTGGGCAGAGGGCAGGTCCGGGATCGCTGCCGCTGCTCCGGGGGTGCCGTGTGGCATAGACAGGCAGCTCGAGGGGAAGGGCACGGCCGGGGCTGCGCTTCCCGTGCGGCAGCGCCCCGGTCCCCGAGCTCCTCAGAGCCTGCCCCGGGAAACGATCAACGTAGAGCCGCGCACGGCTCGGGCCGGAGCGAACCGCAGCGCCCGGGCCGCTCTCGAGCAGGGCAGCGGGGCAGGGCCGGGGCCGGGGCAGCTCCCGCCGRCCACCGCTCTTTGTTGCGGCCTTGGCTGACGGAGTGGCCGGAGGTGCGGAGCCGGCACTGCCTAACGCGGCCTCTCGGGGTCCGGCTCYGAGGCCTCTTCCTACAATTGTTGTTCCTGTTGGAGCTCCGATAGGCCTCCGCAGCAGTAGCTGTGCGTGAGGGCTGCCTGTTTTCTTTGCCCCATAGATAGCTAACACAGTATGTTCTGTAGAATGAGAAAAGTTTTGTCTTTTTTTTTTCCCTGCAAATCCGTGGAATGCTATTGGTACTGAAACTAGAATGTATCCGGTTTTGGTGTTTTTAAAATTTTTTACATTTTAATTTTTGGTGAGGGATCATGTAGGTGCCCAGGATTTATTTAAAACCTATATGCTGTCTTGTGGGAATGGTGTGATTTAATTTGCATGATGAGTCAAAGATTAAATTACATGACCTAGGCTCTTCAGTTTCAGTGAGGCAAATAACAATGCGTGGAAGAACAGTTTCAGTGTAGATCAGAAATGAGGTTTGATTAACATCAAAATGTTGTAAAGTTTTGCCTGCATGTGGGTTTTTTTTAAACTTACCTGTCAGAAACTCTTAATTCAAGACCATTAGCAGTGTGGTTCATCAGTAAGTGTGTCTTCCTTTTTAGCACCTAGAACTCATGTAGTCAAAGGAAATGTAACATCCTGAGCTTGCCACCTTGGTATCGAAGCTTATAAATAATAGATTTTTGCTATTTAAAACACTCTGGGCGTTTAATTAATAGCTATTACCTGTTGATGTGGCACATGCCTTAACTGCAGAGGAAAATAAAAAGGCCACGAAATATTTTATGAAGTAGAATAAGTGTGGTACCTCTTCTGGGCTCAGAAGCAACTTGATTTTTTGTTGTTTTCAGTTGTCCTGTAGAAACTGGAACCTTATCTGATCTGTAAGTGGCATGATGGTGTCTTGGTAGGTTTCTGTCTCTCATGGGCTCACTAATGTAAGAATATTGTATTTCACAGTAGGTTCACGGTTCTCCTGTGGTGTGAGGAGCTACTGGGTCATCCAGCTAGGATAGACTTGGCTTAAATTTATTTCTATTTAATGTGGATCTCAGTGGTAGTGTGATGCCCCTGTCGTTGGGGTTTTCCTTGGTGAGACAGAAATACCTTGGGATAGGAGGAGGTCCTGTTTGGTGGTGTTGGGACCAAGCAGCATAAAGTCTTAGAATGTGAATTTGTACATATGGACTAGCATGCTGCTGAATGTTTCTGAATGCTGATAGCATTGATTTTTTTCTCTTTTCTCTATTTTGACACAGAGTTCTGAAATTTTGATGTGTTCTCCGTGCATTAATGCACGGTTGTAGGTGGGGAATTATAAAACAAGATTAATATTTTTAAAAATGTATGTATTTACAAATAAAGGAGATGAAATAAAAGCAGCAGTTGAGTAATACTTTGTGACAGTATGTCTTTGAGAGATAATTATGCTCTTCGGGTATTATCAAGCCCAGACAAATGTATATTCCCAGTGGGGTGTGATAGTATTAAAACTACACCTCTTGGAATTCCTTGATTGGTTTATTCAGGAGGGAATGGTATCTATTTTGCATTCTATCTTGGAAGCTAATGTAGCTCTTATTAATTAATGGCTGTTGGTTGAATGAAGCTTGACTGCCACCCTGAATGTGCTGCACTTGCTAGGGTTTTTTAGAGCATTTGGTGAATATGAGAATTACTGGCCAGTGTCTTCTATTCTGAATGGTTTCTTAGTTGAATTTTTGCAGATTTTTGACATGAATTGTTTGCAGCCTAATTTTTGTGTGAAATATTTCTGAAAGCTGATAATCTCTGTATGCTCTTTAGAGGCTGTAGATGCTTGCTAAAGTAATGAGTTTTTTTGGTAGAGTTTCAGAAAGGTGCTCTAATAGCGGGTGCTGCTTTGAAGCAGGGGGGAGGAAGAAGCCTRGTGGCCTTTTGAATTCCCTTCTGGCCCTGCTTTTCTGTACTTCTGACACTTTGTGATACGGTTTAATTACAAGAGCAGCTATTAAAATATGATTATCTTTGTCTAATTGGAGGCATCTTGCAGTTACCTATCAAAAATAAGATTTGAATCATCTGCTCCTTCAAAATTAATAGTTCCACAACAGCCTGCAGCTATTTATGTAAATAATGTGCAAAGCAAAAGTACGAGTTGAATATTTTTCAAATACTGTAATTTGTGCATTGTACAGTTGAAWTTTTATATATTTAACTCTCTCTTTGCCCATGTTTTCTTTCAATGCCATGCTTCTGGCACCACGAGGTGCAGAGGTGTGAGCCAGAAGGAAGCTGAATGTCTGCAGTGAGAAGGTGAAACTTTATGCTGAGATCCCTCCCCACCCCCCAAGTGCAAACACAAAGGTTAAATTAGAAGATGAGGCTGTCTTGAATTATTTTAAAGGAGTTGAGCTGGGTTGTTAAATGCACGATGGGAGTACCTAAGGCTTACACTGGTGTCATGTGAGTTTGGTCTTTCTTTAGCCTGAGCAGACTTATGTGCTTTGCTTATTGCACCTTGTGATAAAATAGCACATTCATTTGCCCCTATTTAAATACTCCTTATAAAGGCTTGAATTCAGGATTGAGCCAAACTGGAAGCAACCAAAATTTTGTGTGTTTACAGGAATAACTGTGGTCGTTCCTCAACAGCCTTGGTGGCTTCTTTTTTTTTTCAGACAGTGTTAATTTAGGAAGTAAATTGCTTAGGTTAAATAAACAACTGCAGTTTGCTTTCTAACTCTTTTGGTCTGAGTATTCTAGCTATGCTCGATATAATCAAAAGGCACTACAAAAAGTTCCTGACTGTTGACTTCAAATTTGCTAAAAGGACACAAATATTAAGCCTATCCACAAGGGCATAAAATTCTGGGRGATATTGCTGAATGTTGTAGCTAATCTTTTTGTTTACTGATAATCTGCTACTTGTAGTTAAGTTCTAAGTTCCTTTCTAAAGATCCGTTGGCTCTGTAATCCTTCTCTCCCCGTCAAACACTCAGAGAATTCATCACCAAAAAGTTAAATTTASCAATACAGTTCGAAAATTGGCAAGTTATAATTAGTCAGGAGCTGTAGTATTAGTGTAAGATGTTTTTCTAAGGTCACAAACRTCTTTGGATGAAGATATTTATGAGTTATTACTTAGATGTTAAAAGCACTGGATGTTTTAAAACATTCAGGTATACTGCCAAGTGTGGGAAATGGCTGCATCAGTGAAAAATTACTCTGTGCTGCTTTTGATCCTTGCCCTGTTGTGTATTTTTTTAATCAGTCTTTATTGATAASAAATTGTTTTTTCTTACTGAGAGAATGTAACTATGAGTTTAACTGCAAGATTTGAAACATGAGACTTTAAAATAGCTAAGATAGAACTTGGCTATAAATTAAATTAGAATTAATTTGTCAGCTTTTTGGGGAGTTGAATGTGTGCGACTGTGAGAACAGTACTTATGTTCAGTCACTCATGTGTGAAATGCCTTATCTCCTTTGAAGTTTATCTGTGTTAAAACATAGAAAGAAAAAAATGGAGAAGTGTTTCCAGAAATGCGGAATGTATGATCTTTTTCTGACTGCTAGAGCTGCCCAGACCAATAGTTTGACAAYTGAAGAAATACCTTTCTGAAAAGTTGTCATTTTTTTATTTACTGGCTTTTGAGTAAAGCATGGCAGTGCATAGAAATGRGAAAAAAGAAAGCACAGAGGGTTGTTGAAGATTCTTCTGACACGCCCAGCCTGCTCTTGCATCCAGTCTGTTCGACTTTCTCTGTCATTTTCTCTTTACTTTCCTGGCCRAGAGTACACCTGGGAAGCCTCCCATGGATGGATACGTTTTTTCCAAATATTCATTCAGARCTGCACCAGTTTCTCAGCTCATCTGCTGAGGAGCTCGCTTTGTAAAAAAGTCTGTAGACATGGAGTTAYCGGTGACACCTTGTATGGAGTGGTAGATGTGTGTGCTGATCACACACATTCAGAGCATCCTGCTGCAGTGAGGGCTCTGAGCTCTTCCTCTGGGTAAGYGGTTTCAGGCAKTTTTGCTACAGTTGTAGAAATGAGRCAAAAGTTATTTGTGTCATTRTATTTTAATTTTGACTGTTATGTGAAGTTACTGCTCTGGCAGATGATCTACTCCTTTTAATAGATGTCAGACATTTTTTTGTTTGTTTGATGTATTGTAATGGTTTATAAAATTAACCACTATGTAACATTATGACTTTATTGAATACCATGTATGGACAAAGTATAGGCAAAAGCAAAGTCTGTTCATAGAGGTGTAAAATTTTAGTAAAGACAATGTGGGGGGGTTTATTCTAAGAGACCTTGGTGATGCAAACATGCACTGAGTGTAACATGGTGATGCCTGAGAAGTCTCCCACGTAGTTTATGAATGCATGGTTCTTCTAACCTGTCACACCTGCTATTCAAGTCCTAAGTTTCTTCTGACTGGAGTTTGGTAGTGATGGAGAAACTTCTCAGGAGAATTTAAAGAGATGCCTTGGAGGAGGTCATTTGAGGTACAGTTCTTGATAAAGGCTTTGTATATTAGACAAATGTTGAGA